TTGGCCTGGGCCACACATCGTCCTGTGCAAACTGAACTGAACTGAACTGAACTGAATTTGAGCTGACCTTCTCGTTGTGCAGCTACCTTATTTATAAGCGGTGTGCTGTTAAAATGTTTTTGTCTGAGTTTGTAGTTCATTTCAGTTCTGCTTGCACGAGACAATTTGTGCCCCAGGTCATTCGTGCGTCCCGATCGATGTGTTGTTGAGTGATCTTTTGGCTTCCAACACTGCGAGTCAATAGAAATTTGTGAAAGGGAGAATGTGAAGGGTGTAAGGCTTGGCAACCGCGCCGGTAATTTTTCATCCTGAGTACTTGTCGGACTATCTGATTTTTTAGTTCATGGCTTTTGTTTTCTTCACCTTCTGAGTTCGCATTAGACAATCATAATTCGAACGCATTCCTCGCAATTTGCGCAGGCGAGCGACGAGAGATGCACAACAGGACTTTGGGTCGCGTTCTCGCAACTCGATACGATAGGAGGCTATATGGGCGACAAACAGTAGATTAACGGCGATGGAGTGGCAAGCTAACATAGGTATGAGATGGTGGAGAAATCCTGGCAGATAATTACTTTCTGTGATTAGGTTCCCTGCTAGCAAAAAGCATAGAAAAACGCACGCAGAAAGCACGAATTACGCGACGTCTTGGGGTGAAACCACTTAATTTCACGAAATTTCGGGTTTTCTCTTTGCCTGATCGCAGAAAACCAGCACGTAAACAGCACGACGAAGACTCGTTCACTTATGCAAATTCACCCCGGACCCAGGAGAATTCAAAACTTTTTGACGACAGTTAACAAAATCCAACGAAAGACATTAAAAATATGGAACATAAAAATAATGAAAAACATCCCTGGGAGTGTGCCCACTTAGAAAAACTCTACTTGGTGGGCGCTTTTCGCAAGAAAACGCCCAACTGTGTTATCAACGACCCGTTCCTGACATCCAACTTGCAGTCACTAGCTCACCATTGGGCAGTCGATTCATTATCCTCGTTCTATTGATACTACTTTGGATTTTGCTTTGATGATCTTTCCGTGTCTGTCCATCTCTCACTTTTTTTTCGTCCCGCGCACAAGCGGCTAGCCACCGATTTCAAATGACTATCCCTAGGTGTTGCATTTCTAACTTTCAATCATCTTTTGCCCCAAGAACAGCATAACTGTGGAACACTCCCCTTTTCGGTCTTCCCTCCACCATACAACATCCATGTTTTTAAATACAGTATCAACAGGCTGGTTCTAGGTTGAATGTTCCCCATACCTGCCCGCTTACAGAATATCTTCGGATCACAGGGTTTAACCCTTTTACTGTATTCACTTTCGTGTAATAAAATAGCATGTTTAAAGATAGACCAGCAATTCAAGGTGTAGCAACAGTATCAGTCCTCTCCGAGAATGTACCTTTCTCATATTCGGACCTTGTTGTTTTACCGGGCCAAGACCACCTAGTTAGTCACATG